TGTTTCATTTGTTTTGTTTTAATAAATTAGTTTGATGACAATTATAACTGTATTTCTTTAGGAACAATTACTGAAAAACACTTTTTGAGGACATTTGTCATCTAACAATTATTAATTTGGCAACAGTTACATCAAAACAACAAAAACTCCAGAATGTTTAAAAGAAATAAAAGAAGCAGAGGCATACTTCCAAGTGTCAAAAAGAAATATGGGATGGTTTTAGAAAAGCAAAAGTCTTCTAGTGATGAGGCTGACTAAAATGTCTCTCATCATAGGAAAAGTTTCACGCTCAGAGCTGTTAATCTTGTTTCATGTTCAAAGACATGCTTATTATAAAGAATATTTAATTTAAGGGATAACAGAATAAGCAAGCAAATATGCAATATTTCAATTAAAGTTGAACTTGTTTTGTCTCTTAAGCAAACTATCTAAAAAGTAGAGACAGGCTTGTACCTTTTTCCTCTCTCACTGATTGCCACATCTGAATCTCAATCTACGAAACAAATCCATCAATATAGAGAGTATAACATTTGCATGTGAAATAGAAGTATTTTAGAAATGTTCTCCAGTTAATATGGCTTATAATAGCATCAAATGTGTGCCTTTCACAGATGGCAAAACTTCTTGGCCAAACCCTGTATTGCTTTTATGAAAATATCAAATACGTACATACCTTATTAAATTAGAAATGAGGCCTATAAGTCACACAGCATAGAATTTAAAAGTTGCTAATATTATCATAATTTATCTTGACATAAAAATCACAACTGTTGAAAATACACACACAATAATTGTAGAATTTGAGAATATATCTTTTATTTGCAGGATGAGGGTGTTAACTCTGAGAGAACATGGTATAACGAAACATATTTAGGACAGTGTATTACTTCAACAAGTAACCATGGTACTAATTTTATTGTTAATTTATGTAGTGTATGTATATATTTTTCTGCATTTAAATTTTTTATTAATTTTTTTTCCTATGAATATGATCAAATTATGACATCTATTATAAATAAATGTCATATTTTATTTTTTATTTTAATTTTATGTTTAAATGTTTTATTTTTTATCTTCTTTCCCCACCAAATACACTGATATATAAATGTAATTAAGACACCTACAACTAATTTCTGCAGTGTTGAATGCTGTTCCTGCAAAATACTCCATAAGCTAAGATTAATTTACTTAGATATGTGGCAAAAAAACCATGAATATGTGAGATTAT